CCCCTTCACCCGCCGCAGCCCTGGAGGGGTTGAGGCCGAGCGAGGACTTGGGGGGTGAAGGGGAGGGGCTCTTGGGCAGGGGCAGCTGCAGAAGGCACGCAGGGCCTTCTCTCTCCAGGTGGGGCCACAGGACTGGGCAGGAGAAGCCGAGAAAGGCGGCGGTGGGAAAGTAAGAGCGGCTGGGCCAGAGAGGGCCTCCTTCCCTCCAGCCGCCGGCCCGCCCGCCGCCGCCGCACAAGAGAAGCTGAGAAAGGTGGCGGCGGCGGGGGGAGGAGGAAAGTGACGGCAGCTGGGCTAGAGAGGGCCTCCTTCCCTCCCTGCCGCCGCTGCTGGCGGGCAGGAGAAACCAAAAAAAGGCGACGGCAGCAGCGGTGGAGGGAAAGCGGTGGCGGCGGCTGGGCCAGAGAGGTCCCCCTCCCCACCCACCCGCCTTCCTGCTTGCCTGCTTGCTGCCGTCGCCGCCGCACAGGAGAAGCCGAGAAAGGCAGCGGTGGCGGCGGCGGGGGGAGGAGGAAAGTGACGGCAGCTGGACTAGAGAGGGCCTCCTTCCCTCCCCGCCGCCGCCGGCGGGCAGGAGAAGCCGAGAAAGGCGGCAGCGGCGGCGGGAGGAAAGCGGCGGTGGCGGCTGGGCCAGAGAGGGCCTCTCCAGTGGCAGCGGCGGCTGCTGCAGGGGCTGGCAGGAGGAGGGAGGGAAAAGCAAAGACGGGCGTATGGAGCCGGGTGTTCTTCGCAGCCGCTTCCAACAGCGCGAGGAGCCCGAGCAGCCGGGGCGCTCGGTCGGTGCAAAGGTTTGAGGGAGGCCGTCAGTGCCTACGGCCAAAGAGTCACAGTCAAGTGGCCAAAGAGCCGCATGTGGCTCGGGAGCCGCAGTTTGCCGACCACCGTTCTAACCAACTGGCACCCAGTTTCCAAGCTGTGATTCTGACCCTAGTGCCCATGGGGGAAGGGAGGGGGAGGCCTAGCCCCTTCCTTATCACTCGAGAACTACTGCGGTTGTTCTGAGAACAAAATGGCTGATTCTGTCAGAGCTCAGGAGCTGAGCAGTGTCAGCCCTGGTTGGTTCTTGGAGACCCCCAAGGAAGGCCGGGGTTGCAGGGCAGAGAGAAGCAAGGGCAAACCACCTCTGCTCGCCTCCTCCCTCGAAATCCCTGGGGGCGCCAGGAGTAGGTGGCGCCTGAATGGCACGCAATTACTATTAAGCGAAATGTGACACACCAGCTACATATGGTGGCCAGCTAGGTGCTTAAGGCCCCTTTCCACCCGAGTTCTTCCAGTCCTCCAAAGCAAAAAGTTTTAAGTCCTTGAGAAGCCTGTGGATGTGGTGTGCAGGTTTGGTATTTCTCAGACCTGCTCTGTTTATTCTGTTGCATGAATTTTGGCCTCTGGAGTAGTGACATGAAGCGGCCTTATCCTGAATCAGACCCTCGGTCTCTCAAGGTCAGTACTGTCTACTTAGACTGGCAGCGGCTCTCCAGGGTCTTAGGCGGAGGTCTTTCACATCACCTACTGCCTGGTCCTTTTTAACTGGAGATGCAGGGGATTGAATTTGGGACTAGAGATGTGAAGGCCCGGAAAAAAAACTGGAAAAATTAGGGGGAAAAACAGTTTCCCCCCGTTTTTTTTCCTGAAGCCTTTTTGTGTTTTTTTCCGAAAAATTGGAAAAATTGAAAAAAGAAAATAAAAGGGAAAAAAATTGATTATGGAATGTTTTATTTTAACATGATGAATAAAATATTTTAAGACAAGGTGTTCAAATATTTTCCAAATCATTTCTAAAATATATATATATGGTATCAGATTGAGCTAATTTCTGTGCACTGAGGACAAGCAAGTCCTAGGTTACAAACTGAACTCTCCAATGCAAGAACAAGATGCATTTCTTCCTTTAGGAGGTGCGATTGTCGGAAGAAAATTAAAAAGTTTCAGTTTTGTTTTTGCATTTGGGTGGGTATTCTGTTTGTAAGAATTGTTTGGATACACTACATTTTTAATATGCTAGTTGTGATAATTTCATGCCAAGTAAAAATGTCCATAGTCATATTTTATGTTCCTAAAGTAACAGAATGACTTTCAATCTAGAAAAGACAAAAGAAATGCTAATGTAGCATTTTTTTCAATTTTTCCTAAACTTTCTATTTTTTTTCCGGAAAAAACTGGGAAAAATATGAGTTTTTTTCCGAGCTTCAAAATTTCCAAAAATTTTACATGTCTAGTCTTGTCCACTCCGACTGGCAGCATCTCTCCAGCGTCTCAGGCGGAGGTCTTTCACATCACCTACTGCCTGGTCCTTTTTAACTGGAGGTGCAGGGGATTGAACTTGGGACCCTCTGCATGCAAAGCAGATACTCTAGCACTGAGCCATGGCCCCCTCAGTACCTTATGTTCTTATCCCAAGTCTTGGACCAGGTAACAGCATGCAGATCTTACCCTGTTTTGCCCACTATAGACACAGACGCAGCTTCACTGTAGCTGAATGCGTGAAACGACTCCATCGAACTGGACTGCGTTTTGCTGCCTGCCACGGCTTGCTCACACGTGTTAAGTGCCTGCGTGCCAAATGACACACATGACTTGGTCCTCAGAAGCAAGTATGGGCAGCTGGGGTTCACGTTCCACCCCGGGAGGAGTTTGGGTGTTCCATAGGGAAGTCAGCGCTCTGAGTTGGGAAATATCTTGAAGATGGCACCTCTTACAGTGATTTATGCTGCTCAGTTGAGCTGGACATGTTCTTGTTAAGAACATCAGAGAAGCCAGTGATGGATCAGGCCAGTGGCCCATCCAGTCCAACACTCTGTCACACAGGGGCCACAAACACCAGGTGCCATCAGGAGGTCCACCAGTGGGGCCAGGACACTAGAAGCCCTCCCATTGTTGCCCCCCCCCCCAAGCACCAAGAATACAGAGCATCGCTTGCCCCAGACAGAGTTTCTATCTATATCTTGTGGCTAATAGCCATTGATGGACCTCTGTTCCGTATGTTTATCCAATTCCCTCTTGAACCCATCCACGCATGTAGCCGCAACCACCTCCTGTGGCAGTGAATTCCATGTGTTCATCACTCTTTGGGTGAAAAAGTACTTCCTTTTATCTGTTCTAACCCGACCCGCTCAGCAATTTCATGGAGCGCCCACGAGTTCTTGTATGGTGAGAAAGGGAGAAAAGTGCCTCTTTCTCTACCTGCTCTTTCCCGTGCATAATCTTATAAACCTCAATCATGTCACCCCTCAGCCGTCGTTTCTCCAAGCTAAAGAGCCCCAAGCGTTTTAACCTTTCCTCATAGGGAAAGTGTTCCAACCCTTTGATCATCCTAGTTGCCCTTTCCTGCACTTTTTCCAATGCTATAATATCCTTTTTGAGGTGTGGTGACCAGAAATGTACGCAGTACTCCAACTGAGGTCATACCATCGATTTATACAGGGGCATGATGATATGTTAGCTCTTGCGTGATTCCATAAGAACATCAGAAGAGCCCCGCCGGATCAGACCAGCGGTCCATCAGATGCTGACCGCCTCTGAATGTGGAGGTTCCCTTTAGTCACCGTGGCTTGCAGTCTCTGATAGACCTACCCTCCACGAATCTGTCTAATCCCCTTTTAAAGCTGTCTGCCTCACCACGCCCTCTGGCAGCAAGTTCCACATTTTAAGCCGTCTTTGTGTAAAGAAGTATTCCCTTTTGCCCGTCGTGAATCTATTGCATTGAGTTGACCACCTTGCGAATTAGGATGCCGGAGACGGTAGCGAGAAATACCTGGAGGAGGCAGCAGAAGACGGTGGTCTCTTGTGCCACCGACTCCACTGCCTCCCGGAAGTCCTGCCACTATAAAATGGGAAATCGGCCCATCGTCTTTGGCAGGTGTGGCGTCCTCTGCCAGGCTTGTGTACCTTAGAGCAGAGGTGTCAAACTTATTTGCTACGAGGGCCTGATCTGGCTTGACTGTCACTCTGTCAACCCGGGCCATGTGTGCCATAAAATGTAACTCCAGGTACCGAAGGTAGAAACTGTATACGGCACAGCAGCCGGTAAGCTCCGAGTTGGTGTATTCTCACGCACGTGAAGGGCCCAGGGGCGTGGGTGGGGGGGGGGGTGCAGAGGAAAACCCACATAGGTGGACTGGAGAGGTAGCACTACCAATGTTCCCTCTAAGCTGTGGAGTCTTGGGAGCAAAAATTCTACTTTGTGAGCTGCTGACATTAAAGTTGTGAGTGAGCGATTTGGCTGCTGCATACATTAGTTTGCTCTGGAGCCCCATCCTTCCTGAGCTGAGAGAAAAATGTGTGAGCCGGAGGCTAAAAAACTGTGAGCTAGCTCACCCTAACTCAGCTTAGAGGGAACACTGAGCACTACAGTGCTGGGCGGATGCTCCCACGATGCTTGGTTGCTGCAGATGAGGTGGTTCTGCCATGCTCAAGCCACCGTGGAGTGACTCTGCCCACTCCCCCCGCGCACACTCCCTCCCTTGCATCAGTTACTTGCGGGCCACATAAGAGCCCTGGACGGGCCAATTCCGGCCCCCGGGCCTTATGTTTGACACCCCTGCCTTAGAGGGCGCCCAGCCATGCCTGCCCCTGACACTGCCCCGATATCTTGGCACCTAAAGGTTTAATGTTGGCTCCTAGAGATTCTGAAACTATAGTTTCACCCCTCTGTGACAGCCGGTGTCTAGGCATCGGACGGTTCCTCTTTCGAAGGGACAAACGGAGTGATGCCTGGCGCCCACTGATGTGTACGTATTACCCCCCTCTGCTTGGAAGCCGATCCCGAAAGCAGCTTGGAAAGAGAAATACGGAGCAGCAAGGGGGGGAAACAAAATATTTTGCCAGACTGACTGATCGTAAAGTGGACCCGCCGTGTGTTCAAGACTGGATGGGAAGGAAGGCACCTGGGGTGTTGGGAGGTGAATAGGCATGTAGAGCTGGGGTTCGGCGGCTGCAGTGCATGCTGGGATGTTGAAGGTGCTTTCTTTCTCATTCACATTTCTTTCTCCTTCCAGCCAGTTCTCGACCGCATGCCACACCCCGAGGCTTTGTCCCAGCTGATCGTGTCGTCCGGGGAGCTGAACTGCAGCTGAAGTTGGGGAGGGGCCCCTCTTGACCACCCCCTCCCCAGCTCGGGAGCCGGTCCCTTCAACCCTCAACATGGCGGACCCCATCATGGACCTCTTTGACGATCCCAATCTTTTTGGCCTGGACTCGCTGACCGACGAGAGCTTCAGCCAGGGGGCCCCTGACCCCATCGAAGAGGCCCTGGGACTGCCGGGCGGTGCTTTGGACTCCTTGGCAGGTGGGCCCAAAGAACAGCAGGCCCCCTCCCAGGCGGAGGCCCCCCAGCCGCAGACCCTGGCCCTCCCGGACGCGCAATCCGAGGCTGCCCCCGAGTTGCCCCAGCAGGACCAACCGGGGCTCTTGCAGGCCCCTCAGGACCAGGAGGTTCTCAGCCAAGGCAACCCATTCATGGGAGTCTCTGCCGCCACCGCCACCACACCGGCCGTAGTACCCTCTTCCTCCACCGGGGCCCAGCAAGCAGCGGCACCCCCTCCAACCCCGAAGATTGTCATCTTGAAGGCGCCGGCGGGTGGCTCGGTGACAGGCGCCCACGTCGCCCAGATTCAAGCCCAGCCCATCGGGGCGGCCAACGGGGGCAAAGTGACCTTCGCCAAGGTGTTGACGGGTACCCCGTTGCGGCCGGGGGTCTCCATCGTCTCGGGCAATGCGGTGCTGGCCACCAAAGTCTCCCCCGGAGCCGGGGCCCCGGCCACGCTGCATCGTCTCGTCCAGCCCGGTCGGCCCGTCAAGCAGCTGGTGTTGCAACCTGTCAAGAGCCAAGCAGGAGGGGCCGCGGGGGCCACGCCGCTGAAACCGGCCGTGACGCTGACGTCGACCCCTGCGCAGGTGAGTGCCCAGTGCACGTTGACGGTAACCAGTAGGTTGGGTTTGGAGGGGAGGGGGATAGCTGGATCTCTGGTCGGCGGCTTGGGAATGACCTTCGGGCTCTGGAGGACAGCTGCCAATCTCAGTAGGTGATATTTGGTAGAACAAACCAGTGCCTGAATAGCTAACGGCAGAAGAAGAAGAAGAAGAAGAAGAAGAAGAGATTGAATTTATACCCCGCCTTTCACTTGGAGTCTCAGAGTGGCTTACACTACACCAAACTGGCTCTCCTGTACAAGCCTCCATTTTGCCACAAAGCTCTCTGGGTAATCCGGGCCCGGTCACTTTCTCTCAGCCAAGCCCAGACTAGATCGATCTTGTCAGACCTCAGAAGCTAAGCGGGCTCAGCTGATCTTCGCAGTTGGGAGATCAGTTATAATTACAAGAGGAACTCCAGGCTTTACCTGGAGGTTGGCAGCACTACTGGCAAGGGATATGTATGGCAGGGTAAAAGAAGAGAAGAAGAAGAGATTGGATTTATACCCCGCCCTTCACTCGGAGTCTCAGAGTGGCTCACAAACTCCTTTCCCTTCCCCTTCCCTCCCCATAACAGACACCCTGTGAGGTGGGTGGGGCTGAGAGAACTCTGACACAAACGGCTCTTTCAGGAACAGCTGTGCCAGAGCTTGCGACTGACCCAAGGTCATCCAGCCAGGTGCAAGTGGAGGAGTGGGGAATCAAACCCGGTTCTCCCAGATTAGAGTCCGCACACTTAACCATTACACCAAACTGGCTCTCCAGCTGCTCATAGCCATGTTCTTGTTATCTTTCTCCACGTATAGTAGTAGTATCACCAGCCTATAATTTGTATCAGATTGGCTGTGCGGTGTAGCGGTTGGAGCACTGGGCTTCGACTGGGACATCTAGGTTCAGATTCTTTCTTCCTGCTGTGAATCTCGCTGGGGGTGACCTTGGATCAGTCACGAGCCTTCAGCCTGTCCTGCCTGACGGTATTGTTGTAAGGATAAGAAGGAAGCCAGAGGGGGGGCAAGGAATCATATAGACCAGGGAGGAAGAATGGGGATACAAAGGTAAACAGATCACATTTTGCACCGTCCGTCCCAAAATTAGATGACGCCCTTGAGAACTAAATGTGGTATAGTTGCTAGGGTCTGCAAAACTTTGGTTCAAATCTTCACTTTATCATGAGGTTTCTGGTTTGACCCTCTGCTGGTGGCTCTCTTTCAGCCTAGTCTAAATCACTGGGTTGTTGGGAACATAAGAGAACATAAGAACATCAGAGAAGCCAATGTTGGATCAGGCCAATGGCCCATCCAGTCCAACACTCTGTCACACAGTGGCCAAAAATACCAGGTGCCATCAGGAGGTCCAGCAGTGAGGCCAGGACACCAGAAGCCCTCCCACTGTGCCCCCCACCCCAAGCACCAAGAATACAGAGCATCACTTGCCCCAGACCAAAAGTTCCTATCTATGTTGTTGTTGTTCAGTCGCACAGTCGAGTCCAACTCTTCGCGACCCCATGGACCAGATCATGCCAGGCCTTCCGGTCTTCCATCGTCCTCTGAAGTTTGCTCAACTTCATGTTCGTTGCATCTATGACATACCTATCTGTAACTTGTGGCTAATAGCCACTGATGGACTTCTGCTCCATATGCTTATCTAATTGGAGCCGTCCATGCTTGTAGCCGCCACCACCTCCTGTGGCAGTGAATTCCAAGTGTTAATCACTCTTTGGGTGAAGAAGGACTTCCTTTTATCCGTTCTAACCCGACCGCTCAGCAATTTCATTGAGCACCCACGAGTTCTTGTCTTGTGAGAAAGGGAGAAAAGTACTTCTTTCTCAACCTGCATAATCTTATAAATCTCGATCATGTCACTCCTCAGCCGTCGTTTCTCCAAGCGAAAGAGCCCCAAGCTTTTTAACCTGTCTTCATAGGGACAGTGGTCCGTCTAGCCCAGCACACTGTTTCAGTCAGTGGCAAACCGGTTGCCTCGGAGAGCCAAACGAACAGCACGCAGAAACCAAGGCCTTCCCCTGATGTTGCTTTCTAGCCCTGAAATCCAGAGGTTTGCTGCCTCCGTATATGGAGGTTCCCCTTCACTCCCTGTGGCTAGTAGCTGTTGATGGGCCCCTCCTCCATGAAGGTAAAGTGATTAAAGGAGATCTAGGAATGCTTCACAGTGGAAGGGCATGGGAAAATGTACCAAATAGGTCGCCCACATCCCCATAAGAATAGATCCAGCGGTCTCCTGAGACTTGTACAACTTTGAACTACCAGAACCAGTGTTCCCTCTAAGCTGAGTTAGTGTGAGCTAGCTCACAGTTTTTTAGCCTAGGGACTCTGTTGCCTGGTTAGTACTTCTTTCGTCTGTCTGTTTCCCTGTCGTCGGGGTCAGTGTGGAAATAACCAGCCTCTTTAGCACGCTGGCTTAAGAGACGCACCAGAGCTGACCTCGCCTTCCTTTCCCTCTCTTCCAGGGGGAGTCCAAGCGCATCACTCTGGTTCTCCAGCAGCCCCCGACGGGGGGAGGCCCACCGGGCCAGCGCCACGTCGTCCTGGGCAGCCTGCCAGGCAAGATCGTGCTCCAGGGGAACCAGCTGGCGGCTCTGAGCCAGGCCAAGGGGACCCCGGGGCAGCCGGCCAAGGTGGTCACCATCCAGCTCCAGGTCCAGCAGCCCGGACAGCAGCAGCAACCCATGCCAGGGGGCCAGCCCGGCACCCAGAAAATCCAGCTCCTGCAGCAGCCTCCGGCCAACGCCTCCGGCCCGCAGGCCCCGTTGAGCATCTCTTCCGTGCAGCAAGCCCAGGTGGTGGGGGGCTCGGGGCAGAGAGTGACGGTGCCCCTGAAGGTTGTGTTGCAGCCACAGGTAAGGGTGGCGACGTTCACCGGGCTGGCTTCGTTTCGGGATGTCTTGGGGTGCAGCGTCATCGGGGGCAGAGCTCAACATCAGGGCTACGTGTGGGGCAGTTCTTACACAAGCCGGCAATTAGGTCATACTGGAGAATCTCATCTTCCTTGGGGGGGAGAGGTACGAAGAGGGAAATGACCAAAGGTGCTATATGAAACTCTTTCGGGTTTTTTGCTGTTAACTTACTTAATCTACTTTATTTAAAAACAGAAACATCGTATAAAAGAGCAGTGACTTAAACATCAAAAATGTCAAAAGAACAAAGTTAATTAGGTACATCTAGGTAGTTTCAGGGAGCTGCGGTGGCTCAAGTGGTTAAGACGCTGAACTGCAGGCTGTGGAAGGTCAGTAGTTCAGCAGTTCGAGACCTGGGTGCCGCATGACGGAGTGAGCTCCCGGCTCTAGTTCCAGCTCCTGCCAACCTAGCAGTTCGAAAGCAAGAAATTGCAAGTAGATAAATAGGTACCACTTTGGTGGGAAGGTAACAGCGTTCCGTGCGCCTTGGTGTTTAGTCACGCCGGCCACATGACCGTGGAAACGTCTTCGGACAGCGCTGACTCTTCGGCTTGGAAACGGAGATGAGCACCGCAACCCTAGAGTCGGATTCGACTGGCTTTCGAGCAAGGGAACCGTTACCTTTACCTTTAGGTAGTTTCAGAGGGTAGTAATGTTGGAACAGTTAGATTGGAATATTAGAGACCAACAATATTTTCCGGGTATACGTTTTGAGAGTCAAAGCTAACATGAAAGGCGCTCCAACTCTTGAAAGCTTATAGCCCGAACATGTCGTTGGTCTCTTAAGGTGCCACTGCACTTGATTCTAGCTGTAAATACATCTGGTAAATTATAATTCAGGGATTTGCCTTTAACCTTATCCATGTAGGCCTAGTTGCTATTGTTCGGGATGTTACAGTACGAGAATTGGTAATGTGGGTGAATATTAGAAAAGTTAGTCCAGTTGTCATTGAGCGCCATGCATCCGATGCATACATAAAGCCAACGTATCTCTTTGAAACCTCGTAATATTTATTGCTATTATGACAAAAAAGATCCCTTGGAAATCGGAAGACGTGTTTTGATTATGCTCCTTTTCTGCAAATGTCTTTCACAGTCCGTATCATAGTAGGACCACCACATGCACCTCTTAAGAATCAGACTTTCTTCTGAAACTATCCTTAGGGAAAACTATATATATATTTTTAGTATAAAACATGTCTCTCTTGTAGTAAGATAAATCTCCAAGGAGCATGTGGTTGTAGACTCGGATGGCCAGTGCGGCAGATTGGCTAAAAGGATGAGTCATGATTTGGAAAGGTTCCTGGTTTGGGTCCTACCTCTGCAACCAATTACCTTGGTGGCCATAGGCAGGCCATGCTCTGTCAGTGCCCCCCCTCCCAATGCAATGTTGGGATAAATCGGCCAACTTTGCAGGGCTGTTGTCAAAGCCACAAAGTGAAGTACGTGAAACACTTTGAACACAGAAGTGCTTTAGAAACATGAAGTGTTACTGCGATCACAGATAAATGGATCCAAAGCAACTTTTGCTACTCTTCATTTGTCTGCAGAAAGTGTGCATGGTGAACGCCTGCCGAAGTCTCCTAAGATGGCTCAGGGGCCAAATGAGAGCTTGCACGAATGCAGATTCCCTACCCAGATTGTGAAAAGCATAATGCCAGAAAGAATTAGGCAAACCTGGGTGGAAGGGGGCAGGGAGAAAGGACTGTCGAGTGAATTTGACAAATTTAGACTGCTGTGCTCAGTTTGGCATACCGTTTGCTGTTTCTGCATAAACCGATCCTAGGTTAGCATTCCTAGGTACAGGTCTCATTATAGCATGGAGTGTGCGTGCCCAGCCCTGGTTCCATTGTGTCCCAGTGATTGTGTTGTGACAAAGGGTGATTCCGCACTAGTCCTTAAACCCTGGTTCAACCCTGTCCCCGAATTTACGTTCTACACTACACTCGAGTTCACCCCTGTAATTATCTCTGGTTATTTTTTTGTTTCCACATTACATTGAGGTCCCCCCGGTTTTGCCTCACACTTGTCCCGGGATGAACAGATGCTGTTTTAACCAGGGATGAATGCAAGGAGCTGCGGTGGCTCAATTGGTTAAGACGCTGAACTGCAGGCTGTGGAAGGTCAGTAGTTCAGCAGACCCGGGTGCCGCAAGACGGAGTGAGCTCCCGTCTCTAGTTCCAGCTCCTGCCAACCTAGCAGTTCGAAAGCAAGAAATTGCAAGTAGATAAATAGGGACCACTTCGGTGGGAAGGGAACAGCGTTCCGTGCGCCTTGGTGTTTAGTCATGCCGGCCACATGACCACAGAAACGTCTTCGGACAGCGCTGGCTCTACGGCTTGGAAACGGAGATGAGCACCGCAACCCTAGAGTCGGATTCGACTGCCTTTCGAGCAAGGGAACCTTTACCTTTAAATGCAAGGTATTGTGTTGCAAGTTGAACTCTGATGAAACCAGGAATCCAAGTACGGGAAAGGACCAAAGAGAGCAGCTTATGTGCCCTGTAATCAAGAGGCACACATCTCTGTGCAGCTCCTTCCTGTTGCCAGTTAATTTCATTCCACCTGCTCTTGGTGAGCCCCTCTTGAGACGGGCCGTGGCTCAGTGGTGGATCCTCTGCTCCGCATGCAGGAGGTCCCAGGTTCAATCCCCGGCATGTCCAGTTTGAAAGGATTGGATAATAGTGGTGTCAAAGACCATCACCTGGAACCCTGGAGAGCCACTCCAGGCAGAGGAGACAATCACCTCGGTAGACAAATGGTCATTCGCTTCACGTGTTCCAGATTAGTCTCTATGGGCAGGTGGGATTTTAAAGGAAGATAGGGATGGGGTTTATTTTCATTATTGTTATTTCTTAATTGTAAGACCCGAACAGAAGAATGGTGGCAGGTCTACACATAAAGGTAAAGTTTTCCTTTGCTTGAAAGCCAGTCGAGTCCGACTCTAGGGTTGCGGTGCTCATCTCCATTTCCAAGCCAAAGAGCCAGCGCTGTACAAAGACGTCTCCGTGGTCATGTGGCCGTCATGACGAGGCGCACGGAATGATGTTACCTTCTCACCGAAGTGGTACCTATTTATCTTCTTGCAGTTTCTTGCTTTCGAACGGCTAGGTTGGCAGGAGCTGGAACTAGAGACGGGAGCTCACTCCGTCATGTGGCACACTCGGGTCTCGAACTGCCAAACTGCCGACCTTCCGACCTTCTTAACCACTGAGCCACCGCGGCCCCGAGGTCTGCACATAGCCCATCTATAAAAAGTTTTTAGGTATCTAAAAAGATGTCCATGCTCAATTGTTGTCTATATAACATACATTCAGATGTTAAAGTTCTAAGGTCCTCAATCCATTGTGGACGTCTTATCTTTCCAGTGTTGTAAATAAGTTTATTAGCAGCAGTAAGGACATGGATAGTCCATCTTCATTGGGCCATCCAGGGCTATTTTGGGGCAGGAACGCACAGGAACGGAGTTCCGGCTGGCTCCTGTGTTGGCCACGCCCAGCAGGAACTCATTAGCATAATAGGCCACACCCAGCAGCAGAAACTCATTAGGATTGGCTACATTAGGGGTGTGTGGCCTAACATGCAAATAAGTTCCTGCTACAAAAAAAGCCCTGGGTTTTGACAACAAAGTAAACAGAATAAGAAGCAAAAGGTGGGTGTGACTGGATGACCACACTTCTGGTAACATGGGGGTGTGTGGCCTAGTATGCCAATGAGCTGTGCTATCAGGGGGTGTGGCCTAATATGCTAATGTATTTCTGCTGTTGGGTGTGGCCTATTATGCCAATGAGTTCCTGTTGGGCTTTTTCTACAAAAAAAGCCCTGGGGCCATCAGTTAGCCTCCAGGAGACAGGCGAAGAATACACAAAAGCATTCTCAAAGATGAGTGTCTATTCTAGTAGAAAACTGATATGAGTAATGACTTCCTGCCCTGACCCAAATATTCCAGGCTGGGCAATCTCGTCAGATCTCAGAATCTAAGCAAGGTTAGCCTTGCTTAGTACTTGGATGGGAGACCACCAAGGAAATCAAGAGTTGCTGTGCAAAGGCAGGCGATGGCAAACGGCCCCTGAACATCTCTTGCCTTGAAAACCCTATGGGGTCACCCCCAGTGTTCCCTCTAAGCTGACTTAGTGTGAGCTAGCTCAGTTCTTGAGCCTCAGGCTCACACATTTTTGCCTTCGCTCAGGAAGGAGAGCTCCAGAGCAAACTGATTTATGCAGTAGCCAAACCGCTCGCTCACAACTTTAATGCCAGTAGCTCACAAAGTGGAATTTTTGCTCACAGGGCTCCACAGCTTAGAGGGAGCATTGGTCACCACAAGTTGCCTTTGATGGCCCTCTTCCCCCAACAAAGACTTCCCCCCCCAAAGATTGAATACCTGGACAGGCCCTAAGGATGTGTTTAAGGAGATGTGGCTTGTAAGTTGCAGTGCCAACAATCAGACACTTTTTGCTTAGTCCTTTACTTAAAAGGGTTCTGTGATTTCTTCTATATCCTGCAACTTTTTTTTTTTCATTTTTGCTGAATAAGTTGCGATAGAAACATGGGGTGGATGGGGTTTAGTTACCTTGGGCAGGATCTCTGGAAGAGGCAGCATGGGAATTTTCTACGGGAATAAAAATTTATTTATTTATATTTATTTATTTATTTGATTTACTCCCCGCCAAAGTAGACTCAGGGCGGCTTACAAGAATAACATAAGAACAATTATGACATGGGTAAAAACCATCTAAAAACAATTCAAAACATAAAGTGCTAGCTGGTTGTAAACGAATACATTAGGGATGGCGGAAACAGTTACTTTATTCATCAGTTCTCAATCTTTATCATATACATACGACTGGCACAGGCTGTAATGGTGGAGTCGAGCACCTCTTTAATGATGTTGGTGGTGGTGGTAGAGGCTCCTTAGTCCAGTGGTGGCGAACCTATGGCACGGGTGCCAGAGGTGGCACTCAGAGCCCTCTCTGTGGGCACGCGTGCCATCGCCACAGCCAGGCCCAGACCATCATTAAAGTGTTGAATTCTCTGCCAAATAATTTTAAGTAAATGAAAGCATTTGGGATTGCTTTCCTTACTTTGTTTGGATCATCTTAAGTTAATGTCTGAGTTGTTTTTTCTAAAGTACAACCTCAGGATTCAGGTTAAATTGCCGTGTTGGCACTTTGCGATAAATAAGTGGGTTTTGGGTCACAGCTTGGGCACTCGGTCTCTAAAAGGTTCGCTATCACTGCCTTAGTCGAAGGCCTGGTGGAAGAGCTCTGTCTTGCAGGCCCTGCGGAACAAGGATAGTGGAAAGGCCTGGCAGAGAAACTGATAGTCAACAAGGATAGTGGAAAGGCCTGGCAGTGAAACTGAAGATCGTTCTTGTCTTGAGGGTTTCCAGAGCACCTTTTGTCCACTTCGTCCTCTCTTGCTGCACGTTGGACCCTCGTCGTTAACCCACCACGCAGAACCACGCTGTGCCTCTCTGACGGGGGCGTGCCTTTCTCTGTCGTCTTCTGCAGGCCAGCTCCTCGCAAGGCAGTTCCTCTGGCCTCTCGGTCGTCAAGGTGCTGAGTAGCAGTGAGGTGGCGGCCCTCCCGTCCTCCAGCGGGACGACACGGAGCAGCTCGGACGAATCCCGCAAGCTGGAGCACCAGAAGAAGCAGGAGAAAGCCAACCGGATCGTGGCCGAGGCCATCGCCCGGGCCCGAGCGCGGGGCGAGCAGAACATCCCCCGCGTGCTGAACGAAGACGAGCTGCCCAGCGTGCGCCCCGAGGAGACGGGCGAGCGCAAGCGGCGCCGGAAGGGTGGAGGCGAGCGCGTCCCCAAGGAGGAGCGGCCCCGAAAGGGCAGAGGCCAGGGGGGGTCCGGCAAGAGCAAAGGGCGGGGGAAGCCCAGGTAAGGGGGTGATGTGGGGAGCGTTTCATCAGGCCCTCTCGGTGCTCTTCAGGGTGGAGTTCTGTATTATTATTTCCCCCCCCATTCCTCTCCCCCTCATTCCTTCCAGCACCATCACACCGGTGGTGGGGAAGAAGCGGAAACGAAACGCCTCTTCCGACAATTCGGATGCCGAGGTGATGCCGGCTCAGTCCCCGCGTGAGGAGGAAGAAAGCAGTGTCCAGGTGAGGCCAAAGAGCGGGCAGCTTCCAGAAGGTGGGGGTCGAAGCCTCCTGAAGCATTTTGCTTCACCGGTTAGAAAGAACACTTGGCATAGCACTCAAACTGCTGCACGTGGCATTGGGGTGTGGGGTGGGGGCTCAGCTCGTTCCCGGTGTACCTTTGCCCCCTGTTCAACCTTTTTCTGTTTCTCAAAGATGATGGTCACAGTCACAGAACAGACCGCAAAAAGAAGAAAGAAACTGTGAGGTAACTGCGCTAGATAATATTTCAATAATAATCACAAAATTGTACAAAAATGTGTGCAGAGAATTATATAAATATACAAGACAATAGAAAATGATGTGTGGACAATGGTCTCCGGAATGCTCTGCCGTTTCGATACTATTCTTCTTCTGAGAGTGAATGAAAACATACAGCGAATCTTGGTCTGTCTTTTCAACGAGTAGGTATCAAAAATAATTGTGTTCCTGGGGCAAGGTGCTTGTATAATGCCTAATGGAGGCATTATACAAGCACCTTGCCCCAGGAACATTCTGTCAGAGAAATTCTTGCAATTAAGTCATGATACATCGGTGAATATTATGGATTTTTGATACCTACTAGTTGAAAAGACAGACCAAGAGTCGCTGTATGTTTTCATTCACTCTCAGAAGAAGAATAGTATCGAAACGATAGAGCATTCCGGAGACCATCGTCAACACATCATTTTCTATTGTCTTGTATATTTATATAATTTTCTGCACACATTTTTGTACAATTTTGTGATTATTATTGAAATATTATCTAGCGCAGTTACCTCACAGTTTCTTTCTTCTTTTTGCGGCACCTTTTTTTGTTTGCCAGCACCACGGTATCTTCATGGGTGTATTCAGGGGTCTTGTTGTAGAAAAAGAGCTGCCGGAGCTCATTAGCATAACTCATTAGCATAACTTATTTGCATATGCCACGCCCCCTGACATCACCGGAAGTGACAGAAGGCCACACCCCCTGACATCACCGGAAGTGTGTCAGAAGGCCCGGCTACTTATCCTCCTGCTTCATCCTCATTCCCAAACGGAATGAGGATCGAAGCAGAGGGCGGGGTAAAGAAGGGGGCGGGGCTTCACCACGTGACCGCCCCGCCCCCTAGAGGTTCTCTTCCGGAGCTCCGTACCTGAGAGCTCCCCCCCGACTAGAGCCCTGGGTGTATTGCACACTTCGGTCCAAAAGGTTGTCTACCTGTGCTCTGTGGTAGAACCGAGCTTCATATTTCAGACGGTGCAAAGTTATTCTCGTCTGGTCGAACAAAACGCCCTTTCGTCTTCCGCCGTGCCAGCCCACATTCCCACGATGGCTAGGCTAGATTACTGCAACTTGCTCCTCGTGGGTCTGCCGTTGAAGGCAGTACAGATGCTTCAGATGGTGTAAAATGCCGCTGCCCCTTTGCTCGCGATAGCGAGCTGATCATACCAAACTGGAACAACTGCCAGTTACTAGTCTGATTCCAAGTTAAGTTTTAGGTCCTTTTAAAGGTCTCGTAAAGCCCTTCATGACTTGGGGTTCATGTGTCTCTGGAGCGGCCGGTATGAATGCGGATGCCCTTTTTAGTTGTGCACGGTGCTTCCTGCTTAACGGTCTCCCCCTTGTGTCCCCTCTTTATTCCCTTTTCCCCTTCAGAAAGCTTTGCAAAACAGCTTCCGATGATATCTCCTCTCTAAGACTGACTAATGGGGCCGATCTGTTTAATGGGCTGGGCCATGCCAACGGTCCTCTATTTGTCTTGCGTTTGCTGTGTATGCACTTCTGCTTTCTTCTTCTTTTTTTCTTCTTTTTTTCTTCTTTTTCTTCTTTTTTCTTCTTCTTTTTCTTCTTTTTCTTCTTCTTTTTCTTCTTCTTTTTCTTCTTCTTTTTCCTTCTTTTTCCTTCTTTTTTCTTCTTTTTTCTTTTTTCTTCTTTTTTGCTTCTTTTTTGCTTTTTTTGCTTCTTGCATTGTACACCGGCTTTCCCCTCCCTTTTTTTTGGCTGCTTATTCTTAAAACTGTCAGTTTCTGCTGGTATAGGGAAAATATTACATAAGGGCTACAAAAGTAGAGCAACCCGGGCTCGGAGGCGAGGTGGCGTCTATTCATGCACGAGGGCGAACGTCCCGCTGAGAGCCACGATGGTGTCTTTCTGGCTTGCGTCATGGAGTTCTGATCTTTCTGGTTGGCGTCTCCCCCCCCATACACACACACAGGGTGAACGGGGAAGCGAGAAGAGATTCGCAGAGCATTGCGTGAACTTGGCTTTGTCCCCCTCCCTCCCCAGAAGCGGCGCTCCAACCGGCAAGTGAAACGGAAAAAGTACACAGAGGACCTGGACATCAAGATCACCGACGATGAGGACGACGAGGAGCTGGACGTGACGGGGCCCATCAAGACCGAGCAGCCCCCGGCCCCGGAACCTCCCGCCCCGGAGCCGATACCGGAAGGGGAAACGATGCCTTCCATGCAGTTCTTTGTGGTAAGGTCCCCCAGTTTGGGCAGCTGTTCCCCCCGAGGCCGTGCTCGTTCCCACACCCCTTCTTTAAAAGGGGGGAGGCTGAGTGGGAACTCAGGTTGCCAACTCTGGCTTGGGAAATTCCTGGAGATTTGGGGGTGGAGCCTGGGGAGGGTGGGATTTGGGGAGGGGCCTCGGCTGGGTCCAGGGCCATGGATCTCCATGTATCACGCCCTCCAGAGCATCTCTTTTCTCCAGGGGGAACGGATCTCTGTAGTCTGGAGATCAGCTGTTATTCAGTCAGCCAGTTTGGTGTCGTGGTTAAGTGCGCGGACTCTGATCTGGGAGAACCGGGTTTGATTCCCCACTCCTCCACTTGCACCTGCTGGTTTGACCTTGGGTCAGTCACAAGCTCTGACACAGCTGTACTTGAAAGAGAGCAGTTTCTCTCAGAGCTCTCTCAGCCCCACCTCCCTCACAGGGTGTCTGTTGTGGGGAGGGGAAGGGAAAGGAGTTTGTAAGCCGCTCTGAGACACCTTTGGGTAGTGAAGGGCGGGTTATAAATCCAATCTCCACTTCTTCTTCTTTTACCTCCCAGGGTGTCTGTTGTGGGGAGGGGAAGGGAAGGAGATTATAAGCCGCTCTGAGACTCCAAGTGAAGGGTGGGGTATAAATCCAATCTCCTCCTCATTCCAGGAGAACTCCGGGCCCCACCTGAAGGTTGGCAACCCTGATAGGAAGAACGTCAAGTGACCCTAATTTTATTTATTCATTTAAGACCTTTCTTGGTCACCTTTTTACCTTACAAGAACTCCAGGCGGCTTACAATCAGTGTTCTCTCTAAGTTGAGTTAGTGTGAGTTAGCTCACAGTTTTTTTAGCCTCTGGCTCACACAGTTTTGTCTTCGCTCAGACAGGATGGCTCCAGAGCAAACTGATTTATGCAGCAGCCAAATCGCTCGCTCACAACTTTAATGCCAGGAGCTCACAAAGTACCATTTTTGTTGGCAAGACTGTACAGCTTAGAGGGAATATTGACTACAATGTTACCTCTAAACGGAGTTAGTGTGAGCGAGCCCACAGTTTTTAAGCCTCCGGCTCACACATTCTTGCCTTAGCTCAGGAAGGATGGCTCCAGAGCAAACCAATTTACGCAGCAGCCAAACCGCTCGCTCACAACTTTAATGCCAGTAGCTCAGAAAGTAGAATTTGTGCTCACAAGACTGCACAGCTTAGAGAGGGAGCATTGCTTACAATCTAAATAAAAACACAATAAAATACATAAACTGCTACTGTAAAATCAATAATTTAAAACAGCTAAAAAGAGTGACTGAGGGGAACCTCCCAGAGGTGCTAATTGTTGGCTGTCCAGAGGAACTGGTTGGCCACTGTGTGAGAGAAGATGCTGGAGTAGATGGACCACTGGTCTGATCCAGCAGGGCTCTTCTGATGTTCTTAGGAAGGCCTCTGCCTCTATGCCCTGTTGTTGGCTGTCCAGAGGAACTGGTTGGCCACTGTGTGAGACAGGATGCTGGAGTAGATGGACCACTGGTCTGATCCAGCAGGGCTCTTCTGATGTTCTTAGGAAGGCCTCGGCCTCTATGCCCTATCGTTGGCTGTCCAGAGGAACTGGTTGGCCACTGTGTGAGAGAGGATGCCGGACTAGATGGACCACTGGTCTGATCCAGCAGGGCTCTTCTGATGTTCTTAGGAAGGCCTCGGCCTCTATGCCCTGTTGTTGGCCCTCCAGAGGAACTGGTTGGCCACTGTGTGAGACAGGATGCTGGAGTAGATGGACCACTGGTCTGATCCAGCAGGGCTCTTCTGATGTTCTTAGGAAGGCCTCGGCCTCTATGCCCTGTTGTTGGCCCTCCAGAGGAACTGGTTGGCCACTGTGTGAGAGAGGATGCTGGAGTAGATGGACCACTGGTCTGATCCAGCAGGGCTCTTCTGATGTTCTTAGGAAGGCCTCGGCCTCTATGCCCTGTTGTCGGCTGTCCAGAGGAACTGGTTGGCCACTGTGTGAGACGGGATGCTGGAGTAGGTGGACCGCTGCTCTGATCCAGCAGGGCACTTCTGATGTTCTTAATCTTCGGCTGCCTTCTAATAGTTGAGAGCAAGCAGGTTGCTTGGCGCGGCGTGCTGTAAGATCCATCCGTTTGGAGGAATCTCCCACACTTCTTTCTAGATCCTTGGGGAGTTGCTTTCTCCATTTTCAGTTCTGGAGTTGGGGGGGGGGGTGTCTTCTGCGTTTCATTTAGAGAGACATTCTCCTTCCTCTCTTTCTCAATGCTAGAATTGACAGTCTTCCGATTAATGAAAATCTTTGATTAAGTTTAGGAAAAATATGGCCATGGTTGAAAGTGTTGGGAGCGGGGAGGGTAAAGTAATTCACGGAGGACGGAGCTGTGGGTAGCTGTGATTGCTAAGTGGAACCGAGTACCTCCGAATGCCAGTTGAGGGAGCAGAGAAATTACAAAAACTAACGGGTAGTGCAACTCCTGTACAGGATAGTTATTCTGGTTTGGGGTTCTTTTTTTTGGGGGGGGGGGGTTCCAAATAAAGCAGATCGACCAATCCAAGCTGTTAGTTTGTTCTTACTTTTGGATTGTTTCTCCTCCCCCAGGAAAACCCCAGTGAGGAAGACGCCGCTATTGTAGACAAAGTGTTATCCATGCGGGTGGTGAAGAAGGAGGTAAGTCGCTGTCCCTGCTGTCGGCAGAGTTGCGATAGAGGAGCACTCCTCAGCTGTGCCTTCTCAGTTCAAGGGGATTTGGGATGGTGGGGAGAAGGGCTCCCAGTTTTGGAGATCTGCCCCCCAGACGTCAGAGCTAATTAAGGCAATAATCACTGAAATCGGTGCTTAACAAAGTTTGGTGTCGTGGTGAATTGCGCGGACTCTAATCTGGGAGAACGGGGTTTGATTCCCCACTCCTTCACTTGCACCTGGGTGGATGCCCTCGGGCAAGCCGTAGTTCTGATAAGAGCTGTACTTGAAAAAGAGCAGTTTCTGTCAGAGCTCTCTCAGCCCCATCTACCTCACAGGGTGTCTGTTGAGGGGAGGGGAAGGGGAAAGGAGTTTGTAAGCCGCTCTGAGACACCTTTGGGTAGTGAAGGACGGGGTATAAATCCAATCTCCTCTTCTTCTTTTAAAGAGATTTTTATTGTTTTTGTATGTTTTGTTTATGGAGCTGCGGTGGCTCAAGTGGTTAAGACGCTGAACTGCAGGCTGTGGAAGGTCAGTAGTTCAGCAGTTCGAGACCTGTGTGCCGCATGACGGAGTGAGCTCCCGTCTCTCGTTCCAGCTCCTGCCAACCTAGCAGTTTGAAAGCAAGAAATTGCAAGTAGATACATAGGGACCACGTCAGTGGGAAGGTAACAGCGTTCCGTGCACCTTGGTGTTTAGTCATGCCAGCCACATGACCACGGAAACGTCTTCAGACAGCGCTGGCTCTTCGGCTTGGAAACGGAGATGAGCAACCCTAGAGTCGGACTTGACTGGCTTTCGAGCAACGGAGACCTTTACCTTTACTATGTTTTGTTTGGGTTGAGCCTGCGCTTGTAGGTTGGTGTTGGCTGATCATGGATCATGATAAATGAAGTGAACGAAAAATGCCATTTCTTGATCGTTTAAAAAATGAACGCAATGTGATTTCTAGGGTAACTGCGTTTCCAGCTTTCCAGCGAGGTAGCCGTTTCAGTCTATCACAGCAAAAATGATTACAGGGGTCTCGTGGCACCCTAAAACCAGTTTTCTCCTCCAAGGACAGATCTCCCTAGACCAGAGCCCATCATCAAATTGCATTCCCATGCATTTATCAGTGCCCATCAAATTGACGTTTTCCAAAGTGGTTTTACTTTATTTTATTTAAATCCATTTCATTTTTATCCAACGAGCTCAGGATGGCTCCCCTGATCCCCCCCCCCCCGGTCCTGATTTATCCTCACAACAACCCTGCGAGGCCCTTTAGGCTGAGAGTGGGACTGTCCGAAGGCCGGCCAGGGAGTGTTATGGCAGAGTAGGCATTTGCAACTGACTTTCCCTAATCTGGGCGGTAACGACTACATAACACTGCCTGGTGTCTCAGTTGGAGGATGATAAGCAGGGCTTTTTTTCTGGTGAATGTGCCGGAACAGAGTTCTGGAACCTCTTTGAAAAAATTCTTTTTAAAATGTCTTAAAGTTCATGAGTTTTCCATATACAGATGGAAAACTTCATAAGAACAGAAGAGAAGCCGATGTTGGATCAGGCCAATGGCCCATGCAGTCCAACACTCTGTGTCACACAGTGGCCAAAAACACCAGGGACTCCAAAACCAAACAAAGGTTAGTGGAAAGGAGGGCCAATATTAAAACCTTTTCATAAAAAGAGGTACATGTATTTATTGATAATATCAAATTAAAACATATATAGGGGCCCAATTATAACCAATGTATATAAAACATAATTGGGCCCCTATATATGGTTATAATTGGGCCCCTATATATGTTTTAATTTGATATTATCAATAAATACATGTACCTCTTTTTATGAAAAGGTTTTAATATTGGCCCTCCTTTCCACTAACCTTTGTTTGGTTTTGGAGTTCTTTGTTAGGTTTAGTTTCTTTCCCTTTTTTGTTCTTGCAAAAACACCAGGGGCCATCAGGAGGTCCAGCAGTGGGGCCAGGACACTAGAATCCCTCCCACTGTTCCCCCCCCCCCCCCTTACAGTGCATCACTTGCCCCAGACTGAGAGATCCTATCTATACCTTGTGGCTAATAGCCACTGATGGACCTCTGCTCCATATCCCTCTTGAGAGTTCTGGCTCCTCTTTTTTTTTTTAAAGCCCTGGTGATAAGGCACCTATAAAGGTAAAGGTTCCCTTGCTCGAAAGCCAGTCGAGTCCAACTCTAGGGTTGCGGTGCTCATCTCCGTTTCAAAGCCGAAGAGCCAGCGCTGTCCGAAGACGTTTCCGTGGTCATGTGGCCGGCATGACTAAACACCAAGGCGCCATGGAACAGCACCTATAATGACAGTGAAAAATAAGAGAACTTTAGGGACCAGTTGATGAATTGGTTCCGTTTGGTGCGGAGTCCTCTGCTTTTCTTTCCTTGCTACTCTGATCTCCCCCCCCCCCCCCCCTTCATCTACAGCTCCCCAATGGGCAGTTCACCGAGGCGGAAGAATTCTTTGTGAAATACAAGAACTAGTGAGTGTATCTTGACTCTCTGTCTTAATCTGCACGCAGGCTTCCCAGGGGAGGCTGGGGAGCTGTTTCCTTGGCCTCTGCCGGGGTGGGTTATACCTGCCGGGGAGGGCCGGCTTTGTGCTTATGTACCCATTGCGCCACTTCCTTGGTTACTGTGAAGGTTCTCTGGCAGGCCCGTAGCCAGGATTTTTTTTAATTCGGGGGGTGGGGCTTTAAATAAGTAAGGGGGCACTCTGCACACGCACAAGGGAGGGCCTGGGATGGATGGGAAGTCAGGGGGCCTTGGCGGGAAGTCAGGGGGCCGGGCCCCGGGATGCCCCACTGTTGCTATGGGCCTGTTTTCCGGGCTTTTTTCCCCCTTTGTCCCCCCCCCCGCCGCCTGACACACCCGACTGCATCTTTCCTTTCCTCAAGTTCCTACTTGCACTGTGAATGGGCCACCATCGCTCAGCTCGAGAAAGACAAGCGGATCCACCAGAAGCTAAAGCGCTTTAAGACGAAAATGGCACAGATGAGGCACTTCTTCCACGAGGTACCAGAGCTTTCGTGCGCTCCAGTTCATTTGTTCCCTGCCTTTCTCCCCAGTGGGGACCCAGAGCAGCCCGCATTGTTTTCCTCTCCTCCGTTTCGTCCTCACAACAACCCTGAGGGGTACGACACACGTTTGAGTCCAGCGGCACCTTTGAGACCGACAGAGTTTTATTCACGCTATACCGCTATATGCTAATCCAACTTCAACCGTTGTCACGGCTCAGGTGGGGTGTCACCTGACGATAAGAACATAAGATATGCCAATGTTGGATCAGGCCAAAGGCCCATCCAGTCCAACACTCTGTATCCCACAGTGGCCAGAAATACCAGTGCCATCAGGAGGTCCACCAGTGGGGCCAGGACATTAGAAGCCCTCCCACTGTTGACCCCCCCCCAAGCACCAAGATGACAGAGCATCACTTGCCCCAGAGTCCCTATCTATACCTTGTGGCTAATAGCCACTGATGGACCTCTGCTCCATATGCTTATCTAATTCCCTTTTGAAGCTGTCCATGCTTGTAGCCGCCACCACAAGGTCAAACAACAAGGTGCAGAATAACAGTAAATGGGTGAAAAGAAATCAAATGCCCTAATGCGTCTAAATATATACTGTCCCTAGCTCACTATTCCAAGTGACACTAGACTACCCACCCCTCCCTCAGGATGAGGGGTTTTTCCTTTCAGCAGCCTTCCCTCTGGCTCTGCCCTCTGGGAAGAAGAACAGCTTCTGCTCTGGCACCAGCTCTTTTGTTCCCCAGCCCTCTTCTTCCCTATTGGTCAGTTTTGGCTCCAAAACCTCTCAGGGGCTTCTGGGAGTTGTAGGCCCAGCCTCACCCACTGCTAGCCAGGCTCCCTGGGCCTAGTAGGCCTCTGGTGGCACAGCCCAGATCATAACCACCGTGGATAAAACTTTGTCGGTCTTGAAGGTGCAACTAGACTCAAGCCTTTGTTCTGCTGATTTAGACCAGCACGGCTACCCCACCTGAACCCTGAGAGGTAGGTTAGACTGAGAGTGTGTGACCAGCACAAAGTCACCCAGCGGGCTTCCATGGCAGGAGTAGGGATTCGAACCTGGGTCTCCCCGATACCAGTCTGACACTCTTAACCACCACAGCACCCCGGCTGTCTTGTAGAACTGGAAGCTGAGATGTTTGGCACACAAGTAACCCCTCTTGATCTGGAGGTCCTACCACTGAGCCGGGGGGGGGGGGACACGCACACATTCCCCACCGGCTCACACCTTCTATGTTGTGTCTCCATAGGATGAGGAGCCTTTCAACCCGGACTACGTGGAGGTGGACCGTATCCTGGACGAGTCGCACAGCATTGACAAGGATAACGGAGAGGTAGCCTTGTGGGGGGGAAGAGGGCTGAGGGGAGGGGGAGAGTGCATTAACTGGGCACGGAATCCCCCCCGGGGAGCCAATCGGAGCCAGCGGTCATCAGCCTCCGCCTGTCTCTCCTCCACTGCTGCACAGCCGGTCATCTACTACCTGGTGAAATGGTGTTCGCTGCCCTACGAGGACAGCACGTGGGAGCTCAAGGAAGACGTGGACGAGGGGAAAGTCCGGGAGTTCAAACGCATCCAGTCCAGGCACCCTGAGCTCAAGCGGGTGGTGAGTGACGACTCAGCAGTCCCCTGCCCCCGAGATAGTGATCCCCAGAAGCGTCGTTCCCTTCTGTCTGTGTCAGTTTCCTTAGCAGGATCACACCACACACCAGGGCTTCTTAAGAAGATAAGTGTTTAATGGTAGTCCATTACTAAGAACGAGTAATACAGCTTGTGTCAGGAATGACCGGCAATGTGATGGCCACTGACTTAGAGTAAAATCAAACGTTCCCTCCCAAGCTAAAGCTAATGATTACATTTCGTGCGGGCAAGCAAGCGGCTGTGTGCCCAAACTGTTAAGATTCCCAGGCCGGGCAATGCTGCGGCTGGAAGGAATAACAAGGTCAGAGCAGAGATAAGCAGCGAAAAGCCAGACAGGATGAGCTGGCGTGGAGAAAGAGATGCCCCCTCCACATGCCAACAGCATGACAGGCCGCGCAGGGCTCTTTTTGTAGCCGGAACTCCTCTGCATATTAGGCGACACACCCCTCATGTAGCCAATCCTCCAAGAGCTTACAGTAGCCCCTGTAAGAAGAGCTCTGTAAGCTCTTGGAGAATTGGCTACATTAGGGGTGTGTCGCCAAATATGCAAATGAGTTCCTGCTACAAAAAGAGCCCCTACCTGACAGTCCGTTATGGGATTTGGAGCCCCTGCTTCTTCGTAAGGTGTAACGCGTCCCCCTCGACCAGCTTGGCTTGTCGGACGTTTTGCCCTCTTTGAACCTGTATGAAGCGGCCTCCCCTTGAGTCAGTCTATTTCTGTTTTCTTTTTTAATTCTGATTTTTAAAGAATTTAATTTTTAAATTTTTAATTTTATTTATATATCTATATATATCTATATCTATCTATCTATCTATCTCTATCTATCTATATATCTATATCTATCTATCTATCTATATATATATA